TGGGGATGTGCATAGTTAAAATGTGTTCGGAGGGAAGAGATAGGAAGTCCTGCCTGGTATACAAATTGAGACTTTTCACAATGACTGAATTTCTGGAGATGTGAGTTGGTTTCATCAAGATGTAAACTGGAGGACACTCAAAGAAACAATCACCCTAGGTCCTTTCTCTTGTTCCACAAGTATTTAGGCACTGGGGAGACACAAATAAAAATATCTCTGCCTAGAGCGTTCATAATCTATTTGACACTGTTGGTTGGCTACTCAGCTGCTAAATATGTGGCCTTTATCTGTTTCTTCAAGAGCACCATCTAGCCAATGACGTCTATTCTGCCTGATACACTCTTTCTACCTGCTTATCCCTTCTACCTACACAAGCATCTCTTATGAAAAGCAGCCATGTCATTTAGCATTCATCTTTATCCTAATTTTTTACTCCCCCACGCAACCATGTACACCAGGGATAGAGACTATCTCCCTAGCCTATGTGTATGAGAGTGCATTTGACACAATTCCGGTCGAGAAGGCGTTAGCGAAAGCCTGTAGGAGGGGTTTTAAGGAAGGTGTCTCTGCTTTTAAGAAAGAGACACAGGAAAAGTTAGTCTCTTAATGCTATCTCTTTTATCAGGCTGAGGTTAAAGCACTGAACCAAGGGAACTAGAGAGATGTGGGACTGGGGATATACAATGTGGGAAACCTGCCTTAGGTTCTGGAGTTTATGTTTTGTGAGATTTAAAAAAAAAATCCTTATTGGAGACCATCCTTCACTAAACAGCTCACAAGTCACTTCCTCAGGGAAGCCCGAGCCCCACCGCCCTGAGATTAGTCCTGTCTTATTTTATGAGCCTGTCGTTTCTTGGATTTTTCATCTATAGCCTTTACCACAATTAGTCATTTATCTCTGTGATTATTTGATCCATGCCTGATACTCCTACTAGACCGTTAACTTTGAAGTCCCTATGTCGGTCTCACACAACAGTGCCATGAATAGTGTCGGACACATAGTAGATGTGCACGAGTATTGCTAGAATGAATGGATAAGTACAAAAACAGGTCTGTAAGGCTCAGTGGGGATCGGAGGAAAGGATGCTCAACCTCACTGGGCGGGCCAGGGAAGGGTTCACAGGGAAGGTGAAACAAGCTGAATTTTGAAGGAAGGGAAGGAGTTTTCCAAGCACAAAAGGTTGTAGGGCAGAGGATTCCAGGCAGCTGGAAAATATGTGCAGAGACCCAGAGGTACACTCTAAGCCCGTAAGTCCAACCAAATCACATTTTCATTGCAAGAACTTACAGTTCAAATTTATCCTCAAAATGATTTTTTTTTTGAGGATGACATAAAGGGTATTTTTGTTTATAAAATGTCTCCTGTTTCTTAGTTTAAATTCTTGAACAGAGAAATTGCCCTTAATGTCAGTTTTTCCATAGAATTTCTTCTGTTGCATAGCTTCCCTCTACCTATCTAGAAGATAATTATGTACTCAGGTAGGGGGAGATACAGAGACCAATGAAGACACCTTGTGACATGTCATTTTGGTGACCTGTGGAGTTATTCCAGTTGACCAGCCAAGAAGATAATGTGTTCCGAGTCAAATCAGAGAAATGGAATAGACAGTGAGTTCACACTGCCAAATAGAGGTGAATTCTAATCCAAGTTACATCAGGTCTATTATGAGTTTGGGAGAAAGTCAAATCTTTAGCCCATTATATCCAGGAAACCTAATCATCTTTAGACGGCACCAGCTGCCATAGCCCATAATATGTCATGTCCTATATAACACTTCAGAAATTGTTGCAACTGTATCCAATCCTTCTGTTCTTTCTGTCCAGGGCAAAAATAAATTTTCAACAGAGAAGGAAACATCTAGTCCATGGGGTACTGGCTTGGGATGCTGTCTTCTAATGACAAAATACAACGTGTAAAAGAGGTCTAGCTGATTTTGAATACACGCCACCACTGATTCTTTATGTGTAAAGTGTAACTGATTCCACAAACTAGGCCAGTGTAATTAGCTTATCATCATACCATGAGGCTTATAACCTTGGTCACAATCATGAAATGTCTCCAGGAAAACAAATAATGATTTCATCTACCATCTATATACTTTCCAACTATAGATCTCCAATCCAGGTCTTTGTCCTGCGTTGTAAGTGTATATATGTCCAATTGCCAAATGGAATTGCTCAGGGGAAATGCAAGTTCAGTCTGTTCAAAACTGGATTCATTCTCTTGCCCACAAGCTTACTTCTGCTATTGTGGCTTCTCTTTTTGAGCATGGGATCACTGTTAATTTCTCCTAACTAGAAACCTAGAAGACATCTCCCTTTTTTTTTACTTGCAGTGGGTCATCAAGTCCTCTAGGTTTAGCCTACTAAGTATCTCTCCACCCCCTCTCTCAGCATTACTAATGTAATCTTCTTAATTTCTCATCTGGCTTTCTGCAGTAAATTTATAGCCTAATAAGTGGATTTATGGCCTCTAGCCTTTCTCATTTACAGTTCCCTCCACAATGTACCCAGATGGATCTTTAAAAAAATGAATATCTGATCAAGGCACTTTATTGCTTGAAAACCTTTAAATGTCTCCTTATTGCTTTCAAGATTAAATATCAACTCTTTAGTGCAACACACGTTTCAACATTTCATGACTTGGCTCCCAACTCTGTGTCCAGCCTCGTATATCTCTTCTCACCCTAATCTACCTGTTCCCTTTACAATCTATGTTATTATACTTAATAATAGTTGACATCTATTGAGCATTTACCCTAAGCTAGGAACTATGCTAAAAGCTTTAAATCAATATTTTCCAAAATCCTTTGATGGTATGTATCACCTAGGATATTTGCTAAAAATGCAATTCCTGGTCCCTATTCCAGACCCATTGAATCATAATCTTCAGGGAATGAGCCTGGGAAGTTGTAATAAGAAAAGAACCAGCACACACAAAAACATCATGGTGACTCTCATCATCTGAGAAGTTTGAGAAAACAATGCTTTACCTAAACTTTCATTTAATCCTCATTAAAATGAATGAGGTAAGAACTGTTGTTAGTCTCATTTATTGATAGAAAAACCAAGGCTTACAGGAAGAGATAATTTGGCCAAAGACACATAGTTAACTGTCATTATTATGTTCTGAACCTCGGCATCCAAGTCCAGAATATATACCACTGTTATATTCTACTCTCTCACACATGTGTCAACACGTGCTGTGTTCACACTCAATTCTCTATGCCTGTTCTGCCCTTTGACTTGGGAAGTCATTTTTCCATCTTTGACTGGAAAACTGTTAGCCTTTATTCAACTCAGCTGAAGCTTTCATTAGCCTCCCCAGTCTGGCTTGGTTGCTTTCTTATGGACCATTCTGTTGACATAACATATCATTATCTATATCCTTACCAGACTATAAGCAGGTGCCTCTCAAGTCATTCTGTGTCCTTGGTCTAGCAGAGTGCCTGACATATAACAGGTATGTGATAAATATCTGCTGAATGAATAAAAGTATAATAAGTCACTTTAGTTTGGGGCTTAGATGCTGTGAATTGATGGAGCTAGGGTTACTCCAGAAAATTCGTCGTTTTTAGGTATTGAATGCTGCCTTTTAGAACCAGGCCATGTCCCTTTGAACGCATCTGGTTTTCATTCTAGGAGTGTCTTAGGAGAGATGGGATTGAGAACCTATCCCGTTCTTTTTGAAGTTCAAAGGAATCAAACTTGTGATATACTACAGTAACTCCAATCAAGACCAGATTGTAGAAAAAGACAGTTGAAGGGCCCAGGAAAAGGCAGTGTTATAAGGGAAAGAGGTATCTAATCCGGCAATGTGGGTGCACTGACATGGGCTTAGGGATTCTGGATTCAGACTCCCCGTGCTGTGGGTGCACTGTGAGTGTGATGCAACAGTTAGAACATAGTTGGAAGTGGTGTTTTCCCTTCACCTTAAGGCAACAGGTGGAGCTTTGCAGTGGTAGCACTGAGTAAGACTTTCAAAGTAGGAGGCTTAGTGAGGGCCCAAAATGTATGGACTAAACGTCTACATTTTATCAGGATTTCAGCAAATGGTGATACTGAGTCTACCCTTTTTGGCAGGGGTAGGAGAAGGACCAGGCTAAACAGAAGTGGGATTTCCATGGCTGCCAGTGACACCTGTGTTCCACAGCTAGGAACAAGGCAGTGGCCACAGAGGAGGCCAAGGCCCTCGGGAGAAGCTGCCCAGAAGTTAACCAACATCACGTTCATTTATGAGGGTTGCATGCATCTTGGTTCTACCTTTCTCGGTTATTAGTTGAAGGCAAGGAATGAGGGGAGCTGGCTCATGGATAGGTGTAAGTCATCCTGGCAGGTCTTAGGAATATTTATTTGTGGCATGAGAAACTTAGGGAAACTAGGTTTTCTCTTAATTTGTCATGCTTGGGTTTCATGTCATAATTTAGGTTTAAAGGAAATGTTGAGATCACCAGGTCCAAGAGGTCTGGAAATGTGGGTGATAGAATTCTTTAACATAAGTGAATAAAACCAGTCTTTGAAATATGAACCTCTTCTTAAGCATGCTAAAGACAGTCAGATGCTGTCACGAAAAATGAGACTCTATAGGCAACAGAGCAAAACCATGTTTTAGATGAGACAAGTTTTGTTTGAAACACAAGCTTTATTTAAAACAAAAACTTTCTTTAAAAAAGGCATTATTTGAAGACAGGTTTTATTTGCTACAAAACTAGTTGTAGGCATTCTGGAGACTGTCATTTATGGGCAAAAGAAATCAGATCATACATGCATTAGAACAGAAGGGTTGCTGTGTTTGGAAAAGGGAACATGCCTACAAACATCTCAAGAGTTGGCATTAGAGATGATTACAAAGAAAAGAAAATTCTTGTGAGACAGGTGATACATTCAATGTTAAGGCAATTAATATGTAAATGACATGGATCATGGTCTGTGAAGTCAAATATCCTTATCATTTCTTACCAGATACATTCATTGGAATCTTACTGAGATTAACAGGGGAGTCAGTTTCTATTCTGGAGAGTCTTCCTTAAGATGCGGAGCCTTGACATTACCACGTCCCAGTCGGCATAGGCTCCTTCCAGATGGCGGGATATCTCAGTTCCTGCCTCGTAGCTACATCGGCCATGAAGTAAGCGCCAGTTATCAAAAGTAATCACATCACCTAGACACAAGATTGTTTTCAATATGAATAATCACGTCTGTACTATTTGCAGAGCTAGAAAATGCAAAATGCAAAGTATCACTGCTGCTTAGTTCATATCAAGAGATAGTATGTTATTTCTTTACATAAAACCATAAATGCACTTTTTAACAAATCAGGCCACTGGATGCAAACAGCTTGAGACATGTTGATATTTAAAGTACAGAGCCAGGCGGGTTCCTGTAGACACTTTTATCATTCTTACTTAAAATATTATCTCTGTGTAAAATTTTTGAATTGTTCTTCCTGACTGTTAGTGATCCCTGACTTATACATGTTTATTTTCAGTTTAACAGCATCACATAGTTATAAAGATAGTGACATTCTTGGTTTGTCTTCTATGTTTCTGGTATATTATGTACATTATTTCTAAGCCTTATAAAAATCCTAAAAAGAGAGTATGATCTCACCTTTTCACTCATGAGACAACTGAAGCTCTGAGAAGTTGAGGAATTTTCTCAAAGCGACAGTGCTATTACATGGTGAAGCTTGGATTCCGGCTCCTATTTATTTTGTATTTTTCTCCCATGTTATTTCCATTTCACATGTTTCTGCTCTTAAAATCAACCTGGTGGGACTGCATAGCAGCGGGTTTGTGGAGCTTGCTAGTATTACTTTATTATACCACGACCAATCTTAAAAAACATCACAAGTGGAAAGAACCTTCCGCTTGGTTAAATCAGCGGCGGGGAGAAAGTATACTTTTTATTTAAAGTCTTGAGTTTAATGTCGTTTTACCCAGTCAAGATGGTCCAGGAAAAACACACTGCTTTCTGCTCCTTTATTTCAAATAGCTGGACCACTACAAGAATGGCTTTACTTCGGGTAGCACTGCATCTGCCAGATCAGATAAGCTGACGGGGTAAGCATTACGCCTGTAGTTCAGACGGAGAATCGGGAGGGTAGTGCCATGTGTTTACCAGGAGAGAAGAATTAAGTACAAGCTTCAGTTTATATTGATGGGCCATCAGGATAGAAAATATTAGTCATCAGTCTTGATATCAGGCATGAGATTTCATTTGGCCCATAGCTTGTCTTTCAAGTATTTATTCTTTAGGTTGGAGATTATAACATTTTGGTGTGCTTAAGGAACACCTAGGAACTTGTTTAAAATGAATATTTTGAAGTCTGGAGAGTCAATAGAGCCGGAGTGGGGGCCAGGAATCTGCTCTTTAAGCAAGTTGGCTGCTAATCAAGATTCTATTATAAGTGTTCCACATTCTGTGCTTGAGAAAAACAGGTCTCTCTATTGTTCTAAATGGTTAATTTGGAAGAAAATATATCTTTTCAGTTGTTTGAGAAAACATGTTCACTGACCTGGATTCATCTTAAAAGTAAACTTGGATTCTTCACAGTTCATGAGGTCAACAAAGTGCTTCAGAGCCTCATAAAAGGGCTGCACCTTTTCAACAGGTACATCGAACACTGTGTCTCTCGTGGCGTTATTGAAGTTGATGCGAACCACTTCACCTTTATCATCTAATCTATTTTTTTAAAGAGAAAAAATAAATATTTTAAGTCCCAAAGTATCTATTTACATTTATAAGGGTCGATTTGTCTTGGAAGATGTTTCTGAAATACAGCATTAAAAATCCAAACACACGTACAGAAGATGTTAATGTTAATGCATTTCTTTCTTTTTTTCATTTATTCATTTAGCAAGTATTTTTAAAAATCTTACCACCTGAGTGCCAGAATGATTCAGATTAATTTAAAATAAACATTATGAAGACTTCAGTTAAAAAGTTTTTTGTGTTTAGAGAAATTAATTTATTCTTTATTCTTTAAAACATTAGCTTTTACATATTGAAGTATTTTTATGTTATAAGTTTATAGGTCCATCATTTTATATGTTTTATTAATTGGGATTTTAAGTATGATTTTATTGGAACATTATTGTAAAGAAAGATCTGTTTTCTAAAAGTGTGAAATACACTTTTCTCAAACAATCCCTAGTTTACAAATGGGGAAACTGAGGCACAAAGACAAGAAGATTCTAGCCTAAGGTATATTCTTTGAATCTTTCTATCTATGGCACCTTTAGTGCCATCCTCCATGTTACTGACATAGACTGTCATGACTTTGAATCTTCTTGGGGGTCTTTCACCTTAGCCACTCTAGCGATCAGTTCTGTTTACACTAACACCACAATCCCTCGATGGGGATGGTTATGCTGGTTATGAGCTCTCTCTTTTAGAGTCCATGTGTGTATCCTCACACATCAGTGAAAGGAACTGTGCTTCAATAATCTAATGAAGTCAGAATTGTGTGTCTCACAGTACATTGTACTAAAGCTTTCATTTCTAAGAGTTTACATATATAAGCAACAATAATCACTTTTCTCAGCAATGATATGAGGGGAAATAGAAAGCACATTAGTTATGAGGTCTAGAGAAGACATTATTTTGATGATTGAAACATGTTAGAGGAGATGAGTGGCTGGCATCTTGAAGAGCAACCTAACACGCAACACTGAATCTTTGTAAGGAGGAAGTCATGTGTGCAACAATAGAATGAAAGGAAGGTCCCAATGCAAGGTTACATGCTGAGGAAGGATAAAATGCCCCCCAAAATGAAGAATGACTGGCTATATATTAACTATACACAGGCAATAATTCAAACATAAACCAGCAACATGGTGACTGCACACCTGCAAAAGTTCATCAGTGATGCCAACAAAAGAACACAATGGAAGGACTGTAGTTACCATATTATGTCTCACTGAGAGGTATGATATTTGATGGGACTTCCTGTAAATTTATTTCAGATTACAAATATCTTGAATCTTGCAGATTAAATATGTTCCCTCCTTTCTTCTGTCTCTCAAAACTCTGAGCTGTAATTAAAATCTATCACCTGTAAATGTGTTAAACTTTATGGAAATTATAGCTAGCTAAAATTTATGCTGCCCTTTCTGAGTCAGAAGGAAGCATTCATTTATTATCTCTATTAATTCCCACTTCAATAGTATGTGGTATAGATATTAACATTACTCCTTTTTACTGGCTTCCTTTTTACTATGACTTAGCCAACATAAGTCACTTGACCAAAATTGTACCACTAACAAGGGAAGGAGTTTTATTGCTGTGATTGAATTTGTAACCACTAAGAAGCCTTGCTATTACTCAATCTCACCATTATTATTTTTGTCCAAGTTTCCTTATTTGTTTATATTTCTTGTACTGTACCTAAATCTATCAACAGCCTCCAAGGTCTTTTTTGTACCAGGACATGAACATCTCAAAAGAATTAAAGAAGTTAATCACAAAGAAAATGAATACAAACACAGAGATGACCAAGGCCCTTGATTAACTGAGAACCCTGTTTATTTCATCTCCTGTTGTTAAAAATACATTTGTTACCACTTGTTATTCTCTAGGGATATCCTAAGACCTTGAAAATGGCCAAATTTTGGAATTTTACTACCAAAAATAACAAAGCCAAATCATGATTCAGATGGTGAACATTCAGTTAGTCTCAATGAATAGCTAAGTTTTTTGCTTCTGTTCACTAGCCTTGCAGAATCTGCAATCATATTGTGCCACAAAAAAATTAAAATTTGTCATGGACTTTTCCCCTTAGTAGGCCCCCCTTAAGTCTAGTACCCACCTGATACCATACATAGTTATTACAATATTATTGACTATATTACCCATGCTGTACTTCACATCCCCATGACTATTTTGTAACTATTTAATCTCTACACCTTTTCAACCATCCTTCCCAACCTCCCTCCCATTTGAGATTTGTCAGTCTAGCAACCAATTTGTACTTCTTAATCCCTTCACCTTTTCCACCCATTCCCCCAACTCCCCTTTCATCTGGCAACCAACAAAATGTTCTCGGTATCTATGAGAATGTTTCTGTTCTGCTTATTCATTTTGTTTGTAGATTTAATTGTTGATAGATATGTATTCATTGCCATTTTGTTTGTTCATATTTTTTATCTTTTTCTTCAAAAAGACCCTTCAACATTTCATATAATAATGGTTTGATGGTGATGAACTCCTTTAGCATTTCCTTGTCTGGGAAACTCTTTATATGGCTATCGATTCTAAATGACAGCTTTGCAGGATAGAGTAATCTTGGTTGTAGGTTCTTGCTTTTCATCACTCTGAATATTTCTTGCCACACCTTCTGGCCTGCAAAGTTTCTTTTGAGAAATCAGCTGACAGTCTTATGGGAACTCCTTTCTCTTGCTGCTTTTAGGATTCTCTGTGTCTTGAACCTTTTGCATTTTGATGATGATATGTCTTGGTGCGGGCCTCTTGGGGTTCATTTGTTTGGGACTCTGTGTGCTTCCTGGACTTGTATGTCTGTTTCCTTCACTAAGTTAGGGAAGTTTTCTGCCATTATTGTTTTTGATAATAGGTTTTTGATTTCTTGTTCTCTCTCTTCTCCTTCTGGCACCCCCAAGATGCGAATGTTGGCATGCTTGAAGTTGTCCCAGAGGCTCCTTACACTATCCTCATTTTTTTGGATTCTTTTTTTCTTTTTGCCGTTCTGATTGGGTGCTTTTTGCATCCTTATATTCCAAATCGATGGTTTGCTTTTTTGGCTTTACCTACTCTACTATTGAATCTGTGTAAATTATTCTTTTGAAATTTCAGTTAGTGCCTCCTTCATTTCTGACAGGTCCTTTTTTATGCTCTTGAGGTTCACTGAGGTTCTCACTAAGTTTATTGAGCATCCTTATTAGCAGTATTTTGAACTCAGCATCTGTTAGGTTGCTTATCTCCATTTCACTTAGTTCTTTTCCTGGGGTTTTGTTCTGTTCTTTCATTTGGGACCTGTTTCTTTGTCTTCTCATTTTGGCTGCTTCCCTGTGTTTGTTTCTATGTATTGCTTAACAAGAAGTATGGGGCTAGCTGAGACCAGATGCTGCTTGTTAGAAAGGATTTAGGAAAACCTGAAGTAGGATCCAAGACAGGCCAATCCTTTGGTTAAGCAACTGGCAACAGCTCCGGTGGGCCTGGAAGTTGGGTGGAGCAGGGCCTCAGGGAATCACCAGGGCGGGGCTACCAGTGTGAGCCAGGTTGCTGGAGTCCCAGATATGGGGACTGTCTGCCGCCCCCGGGAAGGGCTCACCAAAGGAACAAAGGCCTCTGACAGCATGTTTGTCCCGGAGAAAGCCCCCTCTCCAGCCCTTACTCTAATGCCAAACAGCTTAGTTCTTCCCTGTATGTCTCTGGTGCCCCTCGAGCTGCCTCCCTTCTGAGCTCAGAGGGAGAGAGTCCGATAAGTCTGTGCGCGGGCCCTTTAAGGAGCTGCCTGGGGCTCCAGCCGCTTCAGCCTCCCTGAGCCTCAGTTCCCGCTGGTTTTTCCAGCCAGAAGTTATGGGGATTCTCTTCCTGGCACTGGAACCCTGAGTGGGGCACCTGGTGTGGGACAGGGACCCCTCAGTCCTCAGGAAGGACCTTCCCAGCCGAGGTGTCCTCCTGATTTTTATCCACCACATGTGGGTGTGGGACCAGCCCGTCCCCTCAGCCCTCCTACCAGTCTGGATGTGGCTGCTGCTTTAATTCCGTAGTTGTAGGACTTCCATCCAGCTTGATTTCAGGCGGTTTTGAATGATGGTTGTTCTGTAGTTTAGTTGTAACTTTGATGTGGTTGTGATGACGGATACCGCGTTTACCTACCCGCTGTCTTGACCGGGTCACGTAGGTTTTTAAGGTAACTCTGAACAGTGGAAACTGTCATGTTAAAACTAGGATTCCATGAGTTACTTCTTTTCTTTCCTGCCTCAATGACTGACCTCTTAGAAAACGATGTTCTGAACTAGAATTTGTTTTTGATGTCTGTCTTTCTTTCATACCCTTCATCTACTATGTCAGAAAAATATGCTGTTTTGACCTACAAAATATACCCCAAAATGAACCCTTCTCCACACTCCCACTATCACTATTTGGACCACTCATGTGCAAGGCACCTTCTCTAACTTAAAGTCCTGCAGTCGCTTCCTCACTGGTCTTCCTGTTCCTCTCCTTGCTCTTCTATGTTCCATTGAACACAGCAGCCAGGATAATGGATTTAAAATGTACGTGAATTCAAATAAGTAAATAGATAAAATGTATATACATGTGTATACATGTAAATGTCTCTCAGTCCAAGTCTTGCAGCAGCTTCCTATTTCATTAAGAGAGAAAGCCAAGGACTTACAATGGCTATCAAGTCTCTTCATGAACTTAACCTCATTTGCCCTCCTGTCTCAATACTCACTGTGCATTGGCCCTTTGTGTGCCTTGACTGCCGCAGGCATGTCCTTAGATTTTTGCTCTAGCTGTTTCAGGAAACTACTAATCTTCTGGGCATCTTCCTCATTCCTTTAGCTTTTTGCTCAAATATCACCTACTCAGTAAAGCTCTTCCTTGACACATTAATTACTTAATGGTGCAAGTTCTACCCTCCGTAATTCGTTGGTTCTACAGATTCTCCTTATCCTGCCCTATGGTGCCTTTTTTCTTCAGTACTTGAAAATGTTTTCACGTTCATTGTAATTTACACATTTGTTTTAAAATTTGCAATTCTCCCCTTCTCTGTTAGACTGTAACCGAAGTAAGGGCAGGGACTCTTACTTTGGTTTACTGATGTATGCCAGGCACCAAGAAGAGGGGCTGGCCTCTATAAATATTTATTGAATGAATAAATGAAGGCTCTATGAGTTAATATAGTGGAAATCTGACTGTTTATTAAATGACTTTACTTTTATATTATTTGGTGATTTCTCCTGAAAGAAGACTATAAACTCAATTCTAAAATTGGAAACACCCCAAAATTCACCAATGGGATCTTATTAAATAAACCATGTCCTAGAAGCACAATGTAAATTAATTTTCAAATACAAGGGTACATTTGTGGCCTTTGTAGATCTAAACAATTATGACCAAACACTATCAAATGAAAAGAGAACACAAAATGTTCTATATAGGGAACATATGATTTTAGTTGGCATCAATTTGGGGAGACATCCCTGTTTCATTCTCAGCCCATGTGGTTCAGAGGAAGCTGTCCTTGCTCCAGAGCTGAACATGTGACCCAACAATGGCTAATCCTAAGTGTCTGACTGTCTATGGTGATTACTTCAAGGATACACTTGAATTGGGCAGTGAGTCATCTAGCTTTGTTGTAGCTATTGGGAAATAAGTGCTTTCTCTGTGCTGTGATTACCAGCTCTTAGAATAATGAAAACTTGGAACTTGCATTGATTATTTTTGAAAATGAAGCCAACACAAAGGATGGCAAAACTAAGAGGTGAAGAAAAAAGAGATCAATTTCAGATAAGGCTGTTTAATTCCTGGATCTGTCTAATGCATTAGATTCTTTTACTTTTGGCTGAAAGTATTCTGACTAGTACAGCCATATAGATTATAACTATGTAGAATTAATGTTATAAAAATTAAGTGTACACAAAGTCTTAGTTAGTTCTCTTATACTGATTGAGAACAGAAGATTTTATGAAATTTGATAAAGATTTTATTTATGGTGAAAAGATTCTCTCTCTTTTTTTCTCTTTCCTTCTAAAATTGCATTAAAGAGTTAATAAAAAGCACAGCTCTGGAGTTAACTGAAGCTTTCTGCTGTTTAAGCCTTAGGTTAATGAAGTTTTTGCTTTTGTTTTATTTATAAATAACACTTACTCTATAATTTTGTGTTTGGATTGTACCGAGAAATCGCAGTAATCCACTCCAATGTCTGTGAAATCCACAAAGGTGGAGGACAAAATCTGGAATGCCCGAGGATCTTTTTCCTTGAGCTTTCGGCATATATTAAATCCATCCACAATTTCCGAATCACCCCCCGTGACTGTTTGTTTTATGCAGTGCAGAAGCTGAACCTATAAAAAGAAGTAGAAAATAGGTTTTAAAATGACATGTACTTACATTTTTGACATTGTAAAAAAGAAAGCTACAGATGCACTGAAACTGACAAACCTTTTTGTTTGTTTTTTAAATTTAAATTTAATTTTTTTATTTTTTTATTTTTTAAGAGAGAATAGAAGGGAGGAAAAGAGAGAGAGAGAGAGAGAGAGAGAAAGAAACATTAATGTGAGATAGACACATTGATCGGTTGCCTCCTGCATGACCCCGACCAGGACTGGGGAATCGAACCTGCAATCCAGGTACATGACCTTGACAAGGAATTGAACCCACAACACTATAGTCTGCAGGCTGATGCTCTAATTGCTGAGCCAAACCTTTTAAATCTGTCTTTGTGTCAGCAGACAAAAGGGCTGGGGAGAAAAAGTTGCTTGCCATCAATATTTTATAATGCAAACATTACAGCTGAAGACATGTTCATTAGTATACAAAAAGCACAGATGATAATAGCTGCAGGAGCCTGCACCTCATGTTGGAGTGTTTATGGACATTATGCTGGCTTTACAAAGGAGGTGGGATTTAATCTGGGTCAAGGAGGAGGGACACGATTTTGAATATGTAGACCAGAATGGAGAGAATCAGGTGGCATGATGATGGGTATGCAAAAATGCACACTTCACCGGGCATCAAAATGTTTAGCTGCAGTAGAGGGTCACACCCGGGCATAGTAGCTGCAAGTGGAAAATTAATTTGTAACCTCATCAAGGAGAGTCTTGAACGTCAGATGGAGGATATTGGACTTTGTTTTGTGCTCAGAGGAGAATCGTTAAAGGCTTTTGCATAAGGAAGTAAAGACTGAAGTGAAGAATATCAATCCAGTGGAGTTACATGGGATGCATTGGTTAAGGTGTGAACCAGTGAGAGAGTCTAATGCAACAGGTCATGTGTAAGGATAAGAGGAAATGTTTAATTCCTACATTTAGACGCTGGTTTTCTGCTTAGAGAAACTAACACCATTCAGCTGTGAACACTTTATTCTTACCGAGTGAAATAAAAATAAAAACCTATGTCTGACAGTTTGTATAGAAAGGAAGAGACAAATATGATATAATACCCAGACTAGGGAGATATCATTACAAGTGGGGAAAGTATCCATGTAGTTTGCGGATCTCCATAGACTATCCAGAACCGCGCTGTCCATTCGAATTTCCTGTGATGATGCAACTGTAGGCACTAGCCCTCCACGGCATTGTGCCTTTGAAATGTGGTTAGAATGACCAAGGAGCTTTTAGATTTTATTTAATCTTAAATAATTTAAGGTAAACTTTAAATTGTCAGTTGTGGCTCGTGACTACAGTGTGACATAGCACAGGTCTAGGACACAAATCCTGCTGTCCTGTCAGCACTGCATGTATTTTCTCAATGTTTTAAATCTCTTTATTTTTTTAATCCTCACCCGAGGACATTTTTTCGTTTTTTGATCAGATAGAGTGGGAAGGAGAGAGAAGAAGAGAGAGAGAGAGAGAAGGAGAGAGAGAGAGAGTGAGAAACAATGATGCGAAAGGGACACATCGAGTGGTTGCCACCCACATGACCAACCAGGGCCGGGGACAGACTGCAACCGAGGTACATGCCCTTAGTGGGAACCGAACCCGGGTCTCTCTGGACCACAGGCCGACGCTCTAACCGCTGAGCCAAACCGGCCAGGGCTCAATGTTTTAAATCTTATACGTTCTTGTTCTCAAACTATGATGGTATAATTTACATTTACCGAGTCCTCACTATGGTTCTTAAAATTTTATACTTCATCTCCATTTTATAGGTAAAAAAACTGAGATCTGAGTTGAAACATTCAGCCATTTAGTAAAACTCTGCTGATACACGGTAACATTGGTAGCCAAACTTTGGTCTATTTGCCTCAAAATCCTCATACAGCAACTTCCTTTCCTATAAAGAGAGAAATCTCTTCACAGCGCTCCTAATAATTCAGTATTGTGTGGTGTGTGTCTATGTTCTTTGTAAAAGTAAACTTTCATTTTTAATTGATGATGCCTTATTTTCTTTTGTTAGGAGAGAACTGCTCTAAATGAATAATAATTCCATCCTTAAACTGATGCCATTTTTTTTTAAACTAAAAAAGCCCCAAAATACCCACAACCATGTGCCTAAGCTGACCAAGTCATTGTGGAAAATCTTCTAATCACCAGGGCAATAAGGGGGTGGAACATAATTAAAAAGAAGAAGAAATGAAAATCTCAACTTCAAGTCAACCAAACTCCAAGGCAAAACGATAGCATCACTTTGTCTCTGGGAGAATTGGTGTTCTTTAAATTTTGTTAGAGTGTGCCATAATGAAGTCATAGAATATTTCAAACACAAATCTTTAAAAAAAGGTCATCTGATGTCTTTTACATATGGCAAAGCCAAGTAATAATCTTCCCGTGTATATTTACATGTTAATGCAATCTTATGAAAGAAAAAAAGGAGATGGAGCCAGACAACACTTTTACTGCTAATTCAAAAGGAAAATATATGCCTGATGTGTATAAAACCCAATTTTATTTCATGTAAGTCATTCAGAACCAAAAATATTTTCTTTCTAAATGTTGCTTTATGGCAGCATGTGACTTTTGGCCCAGACAAAGGAGTCAGCGAAACAACATCTGTGTTTCGTTAAAGCCATGTCTCCTCATCCCTGCCCCACATGATCCAAATCCATCAAACGGAACTCTCAACAGGTAACGTATCCAGACCATTCCGTCTGCACTAAAGGAACACGGACTAGTTCTGTTGGTTATAAAAACACTCGAACGTAGGGGCGAAAACCCCTCAATCGTTCAAAATGGAAACTCAAGCAATACACAAACAGTGCCTACATTTTAATTCTTCCTCTGCTAGACTCTAGACATTTCCAGAATCATGGTGTAGTTTAAAAATCTCTATTAAGTCACTTAACTTTGGGTGTTTCATTTGCTGATGGAGACAGGCACAACCTTCACATTTCTTCGCCTACTTATCGCATATCTCTCAAGTCTCTATTGCATGAAAGGTGCTGGGTTGAGTCTCGAGATATAGAGAAGTCCAAGATTAAGTTCCTGTATTTAAAGGGTTTGTAATGTATGTCTATAAATAATCATCACGTTATATAAAGTATGGAAATTAGAAAATGCAACTCAAGACCCATGTAATGAAGTGAAGGATGGAGACAGGGTTGAAGTTCAAGTTCTCTATTAATCAGATGTCACCCTATGAATGTATTCAACCTTGTGGTACATTATTTCCTCATCTGACATGAAAAAGACATGAACCATCCTGTCTACCTTGAAGGAATATATTAGACAAAGTATTATAAGCAAAGATGCCTTGAAAGAGTATAAAATGCTGCGAAAATGTTAAGCATTATACTATACCTCAGGAATATATATGAAGTCATTTAATTACTTTTCCACAGATTTTTCATTTTAACCGAGATACAAAACCTAAACTCATAAAAAACAGCAGATAATTTTAAAAATTCAAATAGACGCTTGTATTTTCTAGTCTAATTTTTGAAACTTTATCCCATCTAACTTCTCCAACCTATCTTGACCAGATGACTGAGCTGAGTAATTTGGCTTTTAACTCCAAGGGTTTTAGAAACTTTCTAGATCACAATTGGAACAAATCACACACATGTCTCTTCTTGCCCCCAAACCCCACCCGAAAAGGTGACTATAGTGGTTATTTCAGTATCATTTAGTAACAGTGTGGTGGTTTCAGGGGGTAAGGAAGGTGGTGGAAGTGAAGAGGGCATAATGAGGATGGATAAATGGTGGCGAAAAAATAAATAAATGCAATATGAAGTCATCTTCTAGACTAGTTAGTTAATACTGGAGAGGACAGTGGGTAAGAATATTGGCACAGAGGAAGTGTGTTCAGTCGACATGTTGGGAAAAGAAAGACTAATTTTGATTTTTACCCATTTTACCTTCATTAACCAGAGAATTGTCCCAAATCTCCACTTCCAATTACCCTTGAAGATATAGATTTTTTGTGGAATATTTCATTCAGTCCAATTTAGTTCTAAAAATAGAGACTACCTTTCCCAAGGTAGTTTCCTGTTTATTTCTTGGTTCAGCAAAATTATGCTTTTGTAAAAATGTAGCCGGTTCAGTAAAATGACAATTTTGTAATAACATTGTGGAAGGGGGTCCTAGACGTTCTCCTGGGGGACTTGTGGCTCCCTGCTGAACATCTCCCTCCTTGCGGAGGAATCTGAGAGATGGGAAGGTGGAAGGGTTCCAACACCAGCCGAGGTGGTTCTGCTGCATTTACACCCCTGTAGTCCGCCTTTGCAGCTTCCCCAGAAAAGGTGACCTCCACTTCCTCACTTCTTGAATCTGAGTGAAACTTATGATTTGCTTTGACCGAAAAGCATGGCAGAAGTGACATGGTGTTGATTACTAGCTCAAGTCTTGAGAGGCTTTGTATATTTGGCTTTTCTCTAGAAGCCCTGCCTGAGCTAGCCGGCTGGAGGATAACCTGATAGTGCACGTGGTCCAGGGATGAGCCATCTTAACCACCACCTCCGTTACCCAGCCCCCAGCCAGGCGACTCAGCAGCAGCACTGCGCAGATCAACGCTGCCCAAACTGAAAACACGACCTAAGTGAGTGGCTGTTATTTTAAACTACTAAGTTATCGAGTGTGTTTTTGTTTTTGTTTTTGCTTTTGCAGTACTAGCTAACTAATATGAATGATGGTAATATGATGTTGTGGGGGAAAACTCTGCATTGTGTTCCCTTGTTTTATTTTATTTTGTTTAACTCTCTTGAGAATGGTAAATGTGCAAAAAGACCTCAGGATGTACTGCTGTGGTAAAATGTCTTGGTGAAGCAAAAAGTACCAATGGTTACAGGAAGGAATAAAACATGTTAAAAAATATACATGAAAATCTTTCTTCCTTTGGGAATGAGAAGCTATTCAGGGTTCAGGTATGGAGATATTGTGAGTTTGGATTGTGTTTGGAGAAAAAAGATCTGGCTAAGACAAATTAGCTATATAATATGATCTTCTAGGCTCAGAATAGAGGATATTGGTTCCTGGCCTGCCCTGTGGAACATGTTGAGGCTCACCTTACCCCGGGTGGATGATGGAGGGCTGGATAATCAGTGTGAAAGCTCAGCTTCCCAGTTGTGTAAGCCACATTGTTTGCGGCAATTTTGTCTTGCACCTGCCAAGTATGTCTGTAAAATACAAGACACATATGTTTAAACAGGCTGTACCTAAGCCAGAGGAAATGTGTTAGAACGAACTTGATACATGGGGGGAATGGAAACTTCATTTTATGAAATAATTACCATAATGATGATGAGCCAGGGAAGAGAGTCTGACCTTCCTTTGTCTAAAGCAATCATTTTGAATTAGCATTTCCTCATTGCTGTTCTTCTCTACAAAGTAGGATCCGTTTGTCTATTCCACAGAGTTTACAAAGAGGTGTATGTGAAATTTAGGCTTCATGCCTTTTTATAAATGATTTATTGAGGTGAAATTGACATAACATGAACCATTTTAAAATGAATAATTCAGTGGCATTTGATACACTTTTAATGCTGGTAACTACTACCTCTCTCTATCTAGTTGCAAAAACATTTCCATCACTCTAAACTAAAACCTCTTACCTATGATGAAGTCTCTTCCCATTTTGCACAGTTATGGATAGTTCAATATGTTCTCCTATCTTCTGTGTTTCTGGAAAATGGGCAGCTAAATGCAGAGGCTTAGACAGATTCTGTTTTCTCTCTTTGCTAAAATGAAATGGCATTATTTTCATTTATTCCAAGACACAGAATGTCTAGGTGTCTTTCTTTTTGTAATGTTTGTGCACTTTTAATAAGATCTACTTTTCTCTCAACTACTATTTGATTTCCCCATATAATAGTTTATATTAGGGATGAGAAACATGCTTGATTATTTCTCTTTATTTACCATTTTTCAATGTAATAAATTCATTTTGTATCACTCTTAGATGAATGATTAGTTTTTTATTGATAAAAATGTATTTAAACTTGAGAGAGGTAATGGTTTCACAAATTGTCAATGTACTAAATGACCTAGAATTGTACATTTTAAAATGGTTAATTTTATGTTATGTCAACTTTACCTCCATTAGCAAAAAATAGCTTGGCTTAAATTTTTTTTTAATTAGTTAACAAAAAACACTATGAATTACTTGCAACCCCGTGAAAAGAAAAGAAAGCGTTATTGAGATTCTGTGAGGCTTTTCCCTCAGAGGATTAAGACAATGGGAATTGGAAGGAAACCGAGTTCCAAGGCAGTTTGAAAAAAAGTCACTATATATGCACATCACTTTATTGCTCTTATAATGTCTATTCATTAATCTATGTTCACATTTATTAAATCATTTTTCAATAAAGATATGTTGAACACCTATTCTATTCCAGGCATTGTTTTGCAATAGAGCTAAAGGAACCAAAAAAGACAAACATAATTACCAAGTCTAATACCACACAGAGATAAATGCTACAGAAAGATAAAGCCAGGAAAAGAGCTAAGGATTCCAAGAATGTCACGGCAGAGATGTCGCTTTGAGAAGTACTCCGGAAAGAGCTGGAATTTTTCACAGAGATTTGATCAAATCAGGGAAGAAGAAGGATGAATTTCTGGGACATATATTTTAGGCAGAGGAATCTGAAGACAAAAAATTGGGTTTTCTCCCCATTTTCTGAGGTTGAGAGTAATACTACCTTTTTGTGTGCATGCTCTCTCTCTCTTTCTCACTTAAATGCTGGATGGAAAGCCTGGTATATATTTCAATAAAGGTTGAAGAGCTATCTACTTGTGGCCACGAAGTGCAAAGAGACCCAGTGAAAAATGGAGTATATATAGCCTGCTGCAACTCACTTCAAGTCTGAGTCAAGTGACCCGGTACATATAGTGACTGTAGCCAAGAAATACATGAGCTCCATGTAGTTCATGGCACACATATAATAGATTCAGAATATTGTCAGCATCAGCATCCCAAACACATAGGAAGGGATTTAAGGTGACAAAAACACAAATTTTATCAAGTTGCAGAAGAGATAATATCTTCTGACCAAGCAGAGGATGCTGTTGACACAGTCAGTAAGAAATGACTATATTTAAATTTTCTTTTCAAAAGTGATGATAGTTGTGCATTGATCCATTCTCTTTCTTGGTTCCCCCCGTGATCAAGGGCACACTAACTGAGTCTTGCTGCAACCAAGGGCTGGCTGAGAAGGGAAGTTGGAGCGTTAGCCAGGGAACAACTCTCTCCTTTGTTTGACATTAACTGGCTTCCCCAGGGAAGGGGCCTGTGACATGACTTCGTCAAAGCAGTCCTCCAGCCCTCTGAGCTAACTGGCAGGAGACGATAAACATTTTAGTCCTAAAGTATCTTAGGCATGGTGTGGGGTGTGTCGTCTAAACGTCTGTGCTCACACATAATGATATGTCCCAGGAAGGAGCTCACCAGTCCAATCACAAGACATTCTCCTAATGGTTGTAGCATAAGTCTGGAGAAATCCTAGCTATGTCATTTGGTCTACCTTTCCTTGTGGGAATGAATCACGCCGAGAGGGCTGCTGCTGACTGTGACGCTAGGCTTCTACTTATCCTTCTCAAATCCAAATCCCCAGTGAGACACGGCAGAAATAAATGCAAACACCATCCATCGGCCTGTGTGGAAACTCGTTTGTAAAAGCCCACTTGTGGCACTTCAGTGAGACGAGGATGTACTTACACGCACTTCTCACTTGAGACATATTTTAAAGTGTTCCAAGTAGGCAACAACTCAAGAGGATTATCGAGAATTCCCATGACTGCAGCGGAGGCAGGGCCAGATTCTTCTGAAAGTGAGAGGCAGGCTGAGCGCAGCATCTTACCCCAGTGGCACAGATGCTCGCTGCTGTGCTCCCAGCAATCCTGCTTTCGCCAAAGGTGCTGTTTATTTATTTGTTTGTTTTTTAATATTTTTTCTTTATTGATTTTAGAGAGGAAAGGAAGGGGAGAGAGAGAGAGAAACATCGATGAGAGGAAACATCGATGGGCTGCCTCCTGCATGCCCCCCACTGGGGATCGGGCTCACAACCTGAGCATGTGCTCTGGCCGGGAATCCAACCGGCAAACTCTTGGTGTGTGGGTTGATGCTCAACCAGTGAGCCACACTGGCCGGGCCAAAGATGCTGTTTGATTTATGTTTTTATTGATTTTTTTTTTTCTTTTTTTTTAGGGAGAGAGAGCTAGAAGCATCGATGTGAGAGAGAAACATGGATTGGCGGCCTCCTGCACGCCCCCTACTGGGTATTAGGCCTTCAATCCGGGCATGTGCCCTGATTGGGAATCGAACTGAGACCTCTCAGTCCATGGGATGACATTCAATCCACTGAGCCACACCAGCCAGGCATAAAGATGCTGTTTTAAACAAAGCTAACCAAACAAAGATGCTATTTTATTTTAATTTATTTATTTTGTTAATCCTCACCCAAGGATATTTTTTCCATTGATTTTTAGAGAGAGTGGAAGGGAGGGAGGGAGGAGGAGAGAGAGAGAAACATTGGTGAGAGAGAGGCACATCGATTGGTTGCCTCCTGCACACACCCGACCAAGCCTGGGAATCAAACCCACAACCCTTCAGTACTCGGGCCAACACTCTACATATACCTTGAGCCACACTGGCCAGGGCCAAAGATGTTATTTTCTAAAAAATATTTTTAGTGATTTTTAGAGAGAGAGGAAGAGGGAGAGACAGAGGGAAATATTGGTGTAAGAGTGGAACATCAGTCGGCTGCCTTGCCCCCTACCGGGGACTGATCCTAAGCCCAAAACCCAGGCATGTGCCCTGACTGGGAATCAATCAGGCAACCTTTCATTGCACAGAATGATGCTCAACCAACTGAGCTGCACTGATCAGGGCCAAAGATGCTATTTTAAACAAAACACTGAGCTAAAAGTACATGGTGTCATTCTCAGCATTTAATGAGGACTTTCCTTTATATTTTTCTCCATTCAAGGGTTTTGTGAAAAGTTTCTGTGTATTAAAATAATTATTTTTAGAGACCATTTCATGGGCCTGGTTTAAAAGGTAGTTTAGTAGATTCACCCTTGTCCAGATGGCCAGTCATAGATATAATATTTCATTATATTAATCGTATTTGGTGACAAATTAAAAACCTTCAGAGTTTATGGGATGCTTGAATATTGTTTTTGCTAAATTTGTTCTTTTTACCCTTGAGGATTTCATACTCTTTTGGTTCGTGGCTGACACTTGGTAAATCATGCTGGATTTATTTGTAATCTTTTTTTGGTCTTGAAACACTACTTATACAAAGCGAAGTTCTATATCTGCAACCTGGATTTATGATTACCAGCAGCTGCCACCCCAGCGTCGACCTGTGCAAGCTCTCCTTGTCAGAGCATGGAAGAATCCCTTCTTCGGAGCATCATCACTTATCCCAAAGGACTAAAAACACAATCTTCATATCTTATTTTAATTTTTTAAGTTGTAACATGCAAAATGATCTTCTAGCTAAGACACACAAAACATTTCATAGTTAATCGTCCAAAGGAATACCACACTGTGTATTATTTGTAACCATAGTTGTGATACTTCCACGCGTGGCTTCCCAGATGCTGTCACTCAGCAGAGCTCCAGACATTTATTTTTCTAGTATCACCTACGAGACACTTGCAGTGGGCCAGGGGCTGAGGGTGCAGAAGAGAGTAGAATAGACGTGTACTTCATGAAACTTGCAGTCCACGGGGAAGACACATTGGTATCAGTAATTTTCAAAGCTAAAGTACAAGGTGTTAAGAGCATAAAGAAGTGAAGATGATATGGAGACCTGAAGACTGAACAGGATTTGCCCAGAGGAGTGAAGGTCATCCCAGGCAGAACTAGTTTGCCAGGAGGCCCCCTGGAAGGAGAGAAGTTCAGTCTGGGCTGAAGCAAAGAAGGTTTGTTCTGTGTCTACTCTCGGCTTCCCTTCAAGTTTCTGCTCCCCATATTGTCCTGTAAAGTCTTACAAAAAATATCTCATTACATGAGGGAACTGAGTTTAAACATACTCTTTACCTCCTAGCAATTAACCATCTATGAAAAACATTTTTTGAATAATAAAACTGATATTCTGACGGTTAACTTTAATCCTGGTGTAAACTATATATTTTAGGTCTACTTCAGTCGTGACTCCTTTACTTATCCATC